AATACTACGTTTGGGAATAGCGACGAGATACGAATTCCTATACAACAGCAAGATCTGTACACATTACCGTGCGATAGTTTTCTCTACATAGAAGGTAGACTCGAGTCTAAAGAGTCGCCGAGTGTGCAAGAGGAAACCGCGTCGGTGACGAGGCTAGTGAACAATTGCGCGGCGTTTATGTTCGAGGAGATTCGCTACGAACTCGACGGTGTGGAAATCGATCGAAGCAGAAATGTTGGGATAACTAGCACAATTAAGAATTACGCGTCGCTGTCAGTCGAAAAAAGCAAGATATTAAAGAACGCCGGATGGGATTTATCAGCGGCAACTCATTCGTCGATCAACGATTTCAACTTTTGCGTACCTCTCAGCGTGTTATTAGGTTTTTGTGAAGATTACAAGCGTGTCGTGATCAACGCGCGACACGAACTTATTCTGATACGAGCACGTAATGATAACAATTGTATCATATCGCGCGAAACGCAAGAGCCTAAAATCGTTTTATTAAAGATACAGTGGCGAATGCCACATATAGTGTTAAACGATATTAATAAATTAAGGTTATTGCGCACGTTGGATAGCGGACGATATCTGAGCGTCGCTTTTCGCTCGTGGGATCTCTACGAGTTTCCGCTTCTACAGAGCACGACTAAACATTCGTGGGCTGTCAAAGCGGCGACGCAACTCGAAAAACCGCGATACGTTATCTTCGCGCTACAGTCCGGAAAGAAGAACGTTCTATCCGAGGAATCTTCCTTATTCGACGATTGCGAACTAACTAATGTCAAATTGTATCTTAATTCCGATTTTTATCCTTACGACGATATGAATTTAGATTTCGATAAGCGCAAAGTCGCAGTGCTATACGATATGTACTCAAAATTTCGAAGAACGTATTACGGATGCGACAATCACGAAGCGCTCTTAAATCTGAATAAATTTTTATTCTACGGCCCGCTTGTAGTCATCGACTGTTCTCGACAAAATCGATTGGCCGCGATTCGGGCTCCTCGCTGATTGGCTGTGATTCGGGCTCCTCGCTGATTGGCCGCGATTCGGGCTCCTCGTCGATTGGCCGCGATTCGGGCTCCTCGCTGATTGGCTGTGATTCGGGCTCCTCGCTGATTGGCCGCGATTCGAGCTCCTCGTCGATTGGTGACGCGATAACTCGCCTATTCTCGTGTTCGTGAAGCCTGTCGATTAATTCAGGGATGGCGAAGTCGCGATCGCGAAACTCAAATTGCTCGGGGGCTAGCGCGACGTCGCGTTGGCGAGCGTCGCGCAACGCGCTGTGAACGTTTTGCGCCTGCGCGAGCATAGTCCTCGTCTTCGTAAATAAATCATAGAGCGATTCTCGCGCCGTTCTTATACAATCTTCTATCTGTTGTCTAAAGTAAAAAAGTAAAAGGATTATTACAAATTATAATTTATTATAAAAAAGTATTATAAAAATTTTAATCGAATACTTACATTGAACGCGCGATATCGATGTCTCCATCCAGCTGAAAGTTCAGTCTGAGCAAATCCGGACTGTTCTCGATAATGCCTCGCGCCTCCTCGCGCAAATCCGAGGCGAGATCTCCCAAAACGTAAGCCTTTATTGCAATTAAATCACCGTTCACATTAATATAATCGGCCGCGTTAATTATCTGCTGGATTCGTTCCATATCGAGTAGTTCGCGACTGATTTTAATTCTCGTTATTTCACACCTCGCCACTTTGCTCTTATACCGTTTCGCGCTTCGTCGACTAGTCACGTTACCGCGATAACGGATCGCGCGCTAAAAGCAGCGCGAGAGATCGCCGTCACCTCCTTAAGGAACGAGTCGCGTCAAGGTCGAGTCGCGCAAAGGTCAAATCACGCCGGGAGAAATCGCGACCTCAATCGAGTCCAGCGTCATCTCCCGGGCGATCTCGTTGATTTTGTTGGGCGTCTAGATAGGCCGGCGCTAACTCACTTTTATGAGAGCGAGAAAGATGGATAGAGAGATAGAAAAGGATGGAGATATGAGTTAGAACAGTTTGTTGACAAGCGAGGGGGACGTGTGGACAGGGGGAGAGGAGGGGGGGTACGTAGGGCGAGTCGGTAAGCGCGACCCCCGATCGAGCCGAGCGCCATCTCACGGACAATCTTAGCGATTTATATCCGCTCTCTCCCGTGACGTCACGCGCTCCCCCGACCCCCCTCGCCGCGCTTCCCGTTTCGCCCTACGTACCCCCCTCCTCTTCCCCCCTGTCCGCGCTTCCCCTCTCGGTCGTCTACAAACTGTTCTAACTCATATCTCCATCCTTTTATGAGATTTATCGGATCGGAACTCGTCGGATCCGAATCTGCTCGCGGTAAATCGGAGAGATAAGAAAGTGACGAGAGATCCACGTGTCTTCTCGGAGTGTAAGAGGTTAGCGACTTTAGAATGAGCGCGGTGGTTGAAAGCGATGGAGCGAGAGATTCTCGATGAGAAATAAATATGTGTGTCGCATGTTGAAAAGCCCCCGCGTTTATCCCGCCGACGGCGGAAACGGAGATCGGCATGCGAATGCGTTTTAAGCGCAAGATTTGCGCTAAACTTTCCGAAATGAATGTCATTTCCGAGCCCTGATCGAGGAGAGCTCGAACGACAGCGGTGCGGCCCGACGGACTGCGAACTGTTACCCAGGCCGTCGCTAGGAGGACGGATGAGCACTTTCGCGTTACGGTTGAGGCGTTTAGCGAATTTACCTCCGGCGTCGCATCCGACACTTGAGGCGCCGAGCAATTAGACGGTGCAATTTTCAAAGCACTTGAGCTAGAATCCGAGTCAACGTGTAGCATCGAATGATGCTTCTTTCTGCCGATCTGAATAACAAGTTTTTCTGATTTCGAACCTTCTCGAACCAGGTGTTTGTCACAGTTTTTCATTCTAAGAAGAATGCGATCACGCACCGAGCGGGTGACCGCGACGCTGTTTGTTCTCGCTCGTGTTTTATTTTCTGAGGCAATCGTTTTAATATAACGGCGAAATTTAGAAACGAAATTTTAATGTTTCAATTTTGAACAAATAGTATGTTAAATATGAATACTAGTCTCTTCACGATAGAACATTTTTTCATAAGAAGCCTTCATAAGAAAATAAAAATAAAAGAATTCTTTTATTTAGAAAATAATTAAGAAAATAACATATCTACAAATTTTCTTTTTCGGAGTGTGTCATGTTAAGGTATCGAGGTCTACTCGATGTAAGTTAACTCGCTGTTCCGAAAAATATGTAATTTTCACACCTGCTGCCGATAATGTAGATGATGTGTATATCATCTAAAATCCATTTTTTTAAATACAAAGATTTATTTAAATTACAAAAAAGCGACTTTTCCCAAATGAAAATAACAATGAAGATGTCATCCCCAAATGATTTCTAATCGATTTCATTCATAATACATATAAAACATAATCACTATCTGCTAACTTGACGCTCGATAAAATTTTGTTAATAACAAAAAAATATTATTACCCAAATTTAAATGATTTTTCTAAATTTCCCTAAATGATTCCCAAATTATATAAAAAAAAATAATTAAAAAATATTCAATTTGTTTGCTAACTCTACGGGGGTCAATTTTGGCCGTTTAGAAGTAATTGAACTGTGGTTAAGAAATATAACTAGCATTTCCTATAATTTCAAATATGGCACGTAACTTGATACTATCATCTTCAGATGACGAAGATACCGAAGAATTATTAATCAGAAGAGAAAGAAGATTTAAACAAAGTGTTAATTATTTTGAGGAACTGGATGACGTTGAATTTAAAATGCGATTTCGACTGAATAAAGCATTAGTTTTGTTAGTATTAGAAAATATTAAAGATGAATTAGAATTCTTGATTAATAAGTAAGTTGTCTAAATTTTTTTTCAAATATTTCTTATTACAAATATAAATTTAATACAAACATATTCTTTTAAGAAACAAACCTATATCTCCTATGGAACAATTATTATTGATCCTTCGCATTTACGCTACGGGATCGTTTCTTATAACAATTGGAGACTTTTCTGGAATTTGTACAACTTCTGCACATTATATTGTACATAGAGTCAGTGCAGCTATTGCCAGACTACGACCTTATTATATTCATTTTTTAAGTACAGAAGAAGAAATAAGAAATAAACAATTGCGATTTTATAACATTGCACGTTTTCCCAGAATTGTTGGTTGTATAGATTGTACACATATTCATGTGGTAATTATTTAAAATCACGGCTCCACCTGCAAATTTTTTTGATAACTTTTTATACTTAGAGAATAATGTAAATAACAATTTTTAATCGGGAGAGGCTAAAAAAAAGTTATAGACCAAAAAGCGGAAAAAAACGGGGTAATTATTTCGAAATAATTACCCTTTTTTGGTCTATAACTTTTTTGGGGGGCCCTCGCCCAACTAAAAATGGTTATTTATATTTTTTTCTAAACATTAAAAGTCCGTAAAAAAATTTACAGCCCATTTGCAGGTGGAGCCGTGATTCTGAATAATTACCATTCGTGTTCAATCATTCGGTAAGTTATTATAAAAATTATTAATTTAATCTATCTGCCTGAAGGCTTTTTATTTATTTTTTTTTATCTGTAATAGCAACTTAGAAATAACGGATATGGTTGCTCGCTGGCAAGGATCTGTACATGACAGCACCATTTTTAATAATAGCCGTTTAAGAGCAAATTTTGAAAATGGGATATATGATGGTTTGCTGTTAGGAGATTCTGCATACCCTTTAAAACAATACCTTCTAACTTTATTAATAAATCCACAAACTGCTGCAGAGCAACTTTATAATGAATCACATATTCGTACACGGAATATAATAGAATAGTCTTTTTGGCATTTGGAAAAGAAGATTTCCGATCTTAGCTCTTGAAATGAGATATCGTTTACACAGGGTAATGACTATAATTGTTGCAACAGCAGTTCTTCATAACATTGCCAGGCAGAACAATGATGTAGAACCAGATATTTATCCAGATTTTTGAATTTACCTATACCATGGGAGCAAATGTTAGAAGAATGCAACATTAATCATCGAATTTATAACAACGAAGCTGTTGACGTAACAATTCGATCAGAATTGATTCATAATTATTTTGCCAAGTATGATCAATTTTTATTTAATATTAATACTTTCTTGATTTAATAGATTAATATGCAATTTTAGTTATGTATTAATCATATTATTATGAAACACTTAAATATAATATATAATAATAAATTATCTATTATGTTCTCTACTAAATTATTTTTATTTCTTTTTCAGCCTTTTGTAAATGTACGATAAAATGAAACATTTTTAAATTTTTAACACAAACTTAAAATTTTTTTTTATAATATTGTAGAAACATTTTGTACCTCAAATTAAAACAGCTATCATTATAATTATTACTGTAGAAACTAAAATATACCCAGATAGCCAAGTTTGGCCGATCACATATTGCACAATAATTATGCTTTGCAGGCGTGTTTTATCTTTACTGTATTTTCGTCGTCACATTGTGACAGCAGGCAATGCTCGACTTTTGCTGCATTTCTGCCGTTACGTTGTAACGGCAGGCCATGCTTGATGTCTGCTGCATTTCTGCCGTCAGATCTGATATGGCAGACTTCGCTCGATATTTGTTACATATCTGTTGTCACGACGTAATAGCAAATAATACTCGATTTTTGCTCCAGTTTCTCTGTATATTATATCGGCAAACCGTGCTGCCAAAAATTAAGCTTAATGAGGATGCAGCAGAGCGGGATCTGCTGCGAAGTCATGATTGAATTTGCTGGCATACTGCTGGCATACTGCTAGCATTTTGCTATCTGGGATATCTTAT